ACCCCTTCACCTCTGTACTTTTTGTTATCTCAGCTGAAAAATATGATTCTTCTCAGTTTAATCAGCATTTTATAATTACTTCTATTGAAAACACAGCTTGTTTTTTTTTCCTTGATAGCCTGTTAAATGTATAGGGAACAGTGGATTAATTTATTGGACTAAGAACTTACTAAAAATGTAGCAGCCACCAAAAGCAGACTTTGGTCTGAATAGTGGAACACACCATCGCTATTTAATGAAATTTGCATTTTTATGGATCTTCAACTAGGTTTTTAAAAACACTTAAGAGACTGCAGCACCACTATAGATTTTCAGACCGTCATTCTGTAGAACAAAGATTTGCCTTAGTTCGTGAGGCAACTATATAATTATTGCATTGCCTTGTTGTTTCATGATTCTGATTAAAATTCCCCCCCAAAATTGTCCTTTTGGTGAGAAGACACGACCCTTGACTGCTCTTCACCTCAAAGATACCAAGTAAAAACCACTGAAAATGTGTTGCTTTTGTACTAGTTGCATGTTTGCTGGAAATACAGTGGAGAGCCTATAAGTACCAGTTGTCTGGGGAGGGCGGGGGCGTGCAGTTCTCCACACAACTGATCTGTGCTAAATATTGAAGCATAACCTTGAGGTGCAGAGCATCAGGTCCTGTAGATATTTCCCCATTTCCCAAGGGCATGATGAGAAAGTTGTTTTTATGGTCACTCGAAAGCCTTAGATACCAGGTGACAGTAAGCTACAAAATCCTTGTTTATGCTTGTATATGCAGTAGCTTATACATCTGATTTTGAAAGAAGAAAAAAAGTCCCTCTCAGACTGGTTCTTTTCCATAAGCTTCACTTTTCAACTAATGGTGGAAGATGGAGAGGAGATCCTCAGCCTGTACTTCAACCCTTGAATTACTTCTTTGTCAGTAAATTTTTTTCTAGGTTGAAGAACTGTTTCCTCACTGAAATTACTGTGTTTATCAGAGTTCTGCTAAGCTTACTACTTTTCAGCAGCTCACAGACAAAAGATATAAACAGCATAAGAAGCCTGAATTTTAGTATTTGTTCATCTGTCTTTTGAAACATCTTGCTTTAATTTGATGCTATCTGACTGAAAAGATAGTTTTGCAGCTCTTCAGCAGTGGTGGTGGGCAAACAGGGAAACAGGCAAACATTTTTCCTAACTGTCCATCCATGTGAGGAGTACAGGGAGAAAACAACTTTCAGACCCAACTTCCAACTTCCAACAGGTTTGACAAGAGGATTCAGAAGTCCCAAAGCAAGAAGCCCTTTTCTTTTCTGTATTTTAATTCCTGCTGTTGAGATGGAGCTTTACTCTGTGGATGCCAGCTTTGGTGTCTGTGTGTCATTCATAGTTCCCCAAGGGGAAGCTCAAAGGGTGGCTGCTTCCAGATGGGCCTGCCAAGTAATCCTGGCTGCTCAGCAGGGTGCCACCTTCTGTGAAGTGACAAGGACCTAAAGAGATGAAGAGGGAAAGCAGCGTGAGTCCATCCCAGGAGGTGAAGATGCAAGTCCTTTTCTCTGTATAAATTGTCCTTGAAGGGAAAGTGCAGGTAAAGCTGCATCATGAAACAGATGTTCAGATGGTGGTGTCAGATGACCACTGCGCTTTTTAAGGTCAGTTTTACCTCTTGACACTACCCAAAGGTGCGTGTAGCTGTCAATTGTTTCTTCTGAAAATTTGTTCTGCTTTAATAAATTGGAGAAATTCCTTGTTCTAGTTAAGTCCAGAAATAACAGATGGTTCATATACCAGGCATCAGCAAATCCTAAAGTTATTGGCATGACCCCTGTCCATGTCCTGTTGAAAAATCTACCTGTCTGCAGGATTAGATTGCCCAAGAGTTTGGTGTTTTCTGCAAGAAGACCAATAGTGTAAATTTCACCTGCTTCTAACATACTGTTGCTTGACTTAAAAGCTGTCTTCTGCAAAGGTATTGAGGATTTACTGTGGTTGCTGGTGTTCCTTGTTGTGTTTTGGAGAGCATTAATGCTGAGAAGTTCTAACTTCCTGAATGTTCAGTTTAATGAGGCTGGGCAAAGCTGAACTGTATTTTCATCATCCATGCACGTGGAAGTGCTGTTACTGATTTTGGGTGACAACAGGATTAAGGGCATATGACTTGAGGCTGACATCTTGTCAGACTGCTATGAACCTCTCATTCAGGTTAGCACGGAACATGGAAATTAAACAGGCCCTGCAGGTATTGGGATAAGTTGTTGTGGTCAAAAGCAAGTCAGGTTTTTTTGTTGGTTTTCCTTTTAAGTGTCTGCAGCACTGTAGATCATGACCTCTTTGATGTTTATCAGCATGAACTGCACATAGCAATGGTATTCTCACCAGTTTTCATTAAGGTTTCATGCTCATCCAGCATTTCTAAAGAGAATATTAAGGCTTTACAGTTGAGTATGAGAGCAGTAATACTCAAGAAAGAACAGCCTCCAATATGTGACAGAAGTCAAACAGAGATTATACCTTATGTTTGTATAGCATCTTCTAACCTAGAGTGTTCCATGACAGTTAGGGAATTTATTGAACTGTTCCATTCACCACTGCTTCTTCATCATGAGTCACTCTAGCTGGTTATCAGAGCTTAGCCCTGCTGCACAGTATCAAAGAGGGGAAATGGAGCCAGGCTTCCCATGCTGAGGAAGCCTTCCAGACTTTCTAGCCAAGTAGGGTAACTATGAAATACACTGACAAAGCAGACTGGAGACAAGGTAGACTAATAGAGTTAATGCTATTGTGTGGTGCTGACAGCTGAGAATTTTATATTGCTTGTGGAGCTGTTGGCATTGCTTCTTTCAATATACATTTTTCTCACATAATCCCATGCTGTGACATGCTTGATGTATCATCTCAGTAATGTGGAAAAACTGGGGAAATTCAGTGAAATGGCTATATTTTACGACGGTGTCTGTCAAAGGAAAGAAATCAGTCAATCACAGGCTGGAAAAAGCAAGCAATGTCTTATCGCTATGTGAGAGTGAAATTCTTAATGTCCCTTTGTGCAGACCTGTGCCTCCATTTTCAGGTGCTTCACTCCCCTGAACAGTCACGTATTTAACCTGCATTGGGCACAAGTGTAAATCATGCAGTATTTCACAGTGGAGAACCCTTTCCCCATATTCCAGCAGCAAGGAAGAGCTGAGGTGAAATAATAACAGAAACTTCAGTTACTGCCTGAGGAGATCTGCTGTACCAATGAAACAATTAAAATGATACCATAACTGTATATACAATTACAAGGAACGAGTTTAGGAGACTGCTGTGGCTATGAAGGAAGATCTAAAATTGATTGTTTAAGTGTTTGGATTATTGGGTCTGCTGATGCACTAGTTCGTGAGATGACCACTCTTCTGCAAACGAATCAAATCTCTTTCTGCTTAGAAGAGATCTCAGGGACATCCCATTGAACTGGTTAGTCATCTGAAATAAGAAAAATTTCATGTTGTAGCAGTAAGAGTGATTTGAAGTCATACTGATTGCAAGTGGAGATAACAAAATTTTTTTGAGATAGACCAGCATCTGAATGAACGTAGCTGGTATCTTTTCTCACCTTATGTTATGTTCTTATTATGCTTTGCATCACTGCTGTCAAAACCATCATATTTAGCTAGTCTAAGTAAAGAGATTAAGAATTGAATTTGTAAGTACGGCTGTTTTCATTTTTGTGGTGGTCTCACCTTGACACAGTCAGAGCACATTGACACAGCTATGCGAGAAGACAGCAATGGTAGCACTGGTTTGCATCTGTTTAGTGACTGGTAGCATCTGTTTGATGATTAGCTAAAGGATTTCAGCTGTCAGAGCTGTCAATCTGACACCTTTGATGAGCACTAAAATAAGTCTGTGCTACCAAGAACTGTTCATTTTTTCCCATGCTTTTGATTTGCTTGACTCTTTGTGTCCTTGCCGATAACTACTAGCAAGGCTAATGCATTATAAACTCTGAAAAGTGAAGAAAGCAGCTGTCATTTTTTGCACAACAGATGTTCCTGATCAGGAATCAGACAAAGGATCTCATCACTCCTCCTCTGAGCAATTTAATTTGCCTGTTCCATGGTGCACCAGCCACCTCTTTCATTTCAGGATCAGTTCCTTTAATCTTACAGAATTATTAAGTTTTTTTCTGTGCCAAGGCAAAAAGAGTGGAAAAAAGGAAATTGCTTCATTGCTTACGGTGTCACCAATGATGCATCATAATGAAAGGTAGCAAAGGCCTACTTCAAAAATAGGAAACCCAAGTACTACATTTTAAGAGAACTAGAAAGTACTCTATGAGCACTTTTTTTAAGAAATAACAATATAGAATTGATGGTATTTCTTTAGCAGTTTTAAGGCTCAGAGTTAGGTAAAAGCAGTATATAATCCATCAGATTCTTGTGATGCAACTTAGGGGGATGAAAAAAATTGATGTATTCTATAAGAAAAGTTGTTGCTGTGAATCCTGTTCTGCACTCCTTAATCATGTATGTTGTCCAAAATGAGTAATTACTGGGGGCTTTGCTTGCTTTTCCATTTAGTTTGGTAAAACTATCGCGTTGCTGCTGTTTTGTACTGATGGATGGGTACTGCTGGAGATGTTAAATTTATAGTTATTCTACAGCTTATTTCCCAGTTATTAGTCTAGCACAGAACAGTCATTTTGCCTATGCACAGCTCCCGACTTGCCACCAGATTGATCCAGTATGTGCCTGAGGTGGGGCAATTGTTGCTCACCCTGCAAAGGAGGCTGCTCACTGTGCCCCGTGTTCCTACCAATATCTGCCAAAGGCTTGCTGGAAGGGCGAGGCGAGGGGAATTGGCCTTACCTTGTGTTGGTGGCCAGCCCTGCACAGAAATGGCAACTGCTGCTGACAATGCAAACAGTAGTATCTGTGGCCACAGTCACAGCTGTCAGTCTTGATAAAAGCGGAAAGTGTATTTGAGAAGCTTCTGGTCGTCCGTCACTGAGAATCCACTCATATGACCTCATTTTGATTTGGCAGGTTGACAGGACAGAAGTGATTCGGACCTGTATAAATCCTGTCTTCTCCAAGCTGTTCACAGTGGACTTCTATTTTGAAGAAGTGCAGCGACTGCGGTTTGAAGTGCATGACATTAGCAGCAACCACAATGGGCTGAAGGAAGCGGATTTTCTTGGTGGCATGGAGTGCACTCTTGGACAAGTAGGTATTGCTGCCATTTTCTGCCCTTGACCCTCTTCTTTTGTATATATATTAAATATATTGCTTTGGTAAATGACTGATGGGTGAGGTTTTTCATTCGTGACGAAATTCTTAATTGATGCTTTGAACAGGATAATTAAGAACTTCTGGTGGTTTGATTTACTGCTGTAGTACAGCTTCAAGTGAGCCAGTGCTTACAGAAAACAGAGCATCAGTGGTTGGCTCTGGACAGTAAAAACCCATGCTCATTAGACTGGTGTTGGAAAATAGACTGATTTGGGAGAAAGTCACTGTTCCTAACGTTACATGGGATTTAGCAAGTTTCAAGTCCAAGGAACACTTAAAAATACCATTTATTCACAGAGGGTAGTGCCTGGTGTTGTGGCAAATAGAGAAATAGGGTTGGATTCATTTCTCTGACTTTCAGTCATCCTGAAGTTAGGTGTCTAGACTAAGTTACTCTTCTGATTTCCATCTTTAATTCAGTGGAGAGAAACAGACAGTTCCAACAGTTAATTCGTTCTACCTGAGAGAGCCATCACAGATTAGGATAAATTGTCTTCAGGAGATACCTGTCTTTCCTCATCAGTTGTTGGGAGAGTCTAGACAGCTGGTTTAGGATAGATACCTAACTTTTTAAATTACTAAGTCTAGAGGTGAGAAGTCCTACTCACAGTATTGATATTTAGAGGTCATCAGAGCCAGGTCTGTAGTGAGTTCCCATACTGCTGACTTGTAGCACACTACAGTGTCCCAGATATCACAGTTTATTTCTAACTGGCAGCATTTTTGTCATGTAGTGTTTCATAACACAGATTTCTGCTTTGTCCATAATCTCAATGCCAAGGATGGTCTCAGTTTCACTGAACTGAGTGTAAATTTGCTCTCCGCGCCCTCCGTCACACAATCTCCAGCTTGTGTGATGAGAGCAGGCAGTGCTTTTGTTTAGGTTATGCTTCCCAGTGCTTCCACAGAAGTTTGTATTCTGAACATAGTAGTTTGTCATGGAAGATGCTGCAAAGCTTTTGTTTCCTGTTTTCTCACCTCTTGTTGTTCCTACCTCAGCCTCACCGCACATGAATCACTGATTTTTTTTTCCCAGAGCTATTGGGCAAATGCTGAATGAGGAAAAGCTCTCCTAGTGAGAGAAATAGTATGAAATATATGCATTTACTAAATTGAAAGCTCAATATGAAGATGTTGGTATTTGGGGTATTTACAGTGCTCTGTAAAGTCTGTTCCTTTTGACAGAATTCTTGTGCCTTAATGAAAATAAGCTATCCTATAAGACCAAAGAGAATGGAAAACAAAGAAAAATGTTATTATAATGTTCTTCTCTCTTAATTGGCTTGAAAATGAAGGGAGGAAAAAATGTCGTTACTTCTGCCTGTAGCATAAATGTCTTTATAATGATTTGATCTCTATAAATAGCACACAGCTGGGTTGGTTGCAGTGTAATTCTAGTGGTAACCAAGCAAAAATAATAACAGTGTGAATTCTATTCACAGTAATGTAGCCTGGAGGACTCTGATCTCATATTAAACCTTTTTTGTGGTGTTCCTTCCCCTCCTTTTCTAGTTTATTACCTTTATATGATTCCTCAACTGATATAAAAATAGTAACACTGGAATTGTCATCCAAGTAAAGCCAGCATTGAAAATCCTACAGCATAGTCTGTACATACAGAGCTTATGCTCATGGTTAGCTGCTTGGTGTAATTACAGCATATTTTTTTCATTATCATAATAGAGCCATGGCTTTTCTTGAGATAAATTTGACATAAATGTGTTGTTCTACATCATTCTAATGCCTGAATAAAACAGGATTTTATGTCAAAGTGCCTCTAAATTCACTTTCCCAGTTCAAGTAGGCCTTATCTGAGACATCAAGGAAGGCTGTTGATTTTTGGGCATAGTCTGAAAAACTGACTCCCCTCCCACCTCTCCGTAAGTGCCAACTTCTACGCTCTCTTCTAGGTAATAATTGATCTATAAGAGATTCACTGCTACCTGTACCTGTTTATAGATCATCACTTAGATATGAAGTAAACGTACATGTTTGCCCAAATCATGTAATACTCTTACCTAAAACAAAATTAATAGGAATAATAAATGCTGGGAAAGGCAATAGCGTAGTTATAAAGTAAGTGGACAGAGAGAGGAGTGAGTTTTCTTTCTTCTGATCTAAATCTTACATGTAACCTACCAAATGGGTACAAGTGTGTTGGAAATTTGGGGTCTTGGGTGCAAACAATGAAGAAATGCATTAGTTTGGAAGGTGTCAGTAATCTCCTCCCAAATACTCAAATATTTGAGTATACTGTGTTCCAAGAGAGTGATAGCAGCAGTGACTTGTAGGCTGTTAGATCCTGAACCAATACACTCTGATGACATCCCACTACATGTGCAACAAGATTTAGTCCTATTGCTCTTGCCATGACAATTCAATTCTGTGCCTCTACTCGTAAATACTGTGGTTCAAAGCATCCTAGCATGCAGTCAGTTATACCTGAATGTGAAGAATAAATGCATTGACAGGCATTTCCTATACCACAGCATTTAAACACGATAGAATAAATGTTTGTGGATAGATACCTGCTGGGTATAATTAGGAAAACGTCAGTGTCCTAAATAGAGACATTTCCTTGAAGTGGTTTATCTTGTCCATCATGTTCAAAAGTTGCCTTTTCAAATAAAACAATAGGTGATTATCTCTTGAAGGGTTTGACAGGAGGAGGTTTGGTGTGAGGTGTGTGGGGGAACCTTTTTTGTGTGTTTTTAAGTACTAAAAGTCTGTTCCACTCAGAAAGGCTCTTTCTGCATTCCAGTTTTCCAGCTTCTTGAGTTTCCTGGTAATGTGCAGGTTGGGAGAACATTAACAAATATGTTCTGTATAGTCGGAATGACAGCCAGATCAAAAAAGCCCTAAAATATTACAGAAGGTAGTAAAGTTGAAAATGCAGACAAATTTTCCTCGGTTAGTAGCAAAATCTTAAAATAATGGTCTGCAATTATAAGTTGTTTATAAAATGAAGTTTCTTAAGGAACTTTACATTAAGAAATGTACCATACTCCAAGCAATTAAGCTGACTGTGCTGTATTGCTTAAGTAAAGTGGTGTTGTTAAAAGGTAGGCTAAAGCGCATAACTAAAACCTATACATTTAAAAAATATTATTTTCCATCTTAGAGTTAATTTCTGAGTAACTGCATAAAACTAATATCTAATAATACTGGTTTTAGCAATTAAGTTGTACAGTCATACGGTAGCTATTTAAGCAAGGAAATTTTAATGTGTTGTTCTTGTAACCTCACAAAGATTATTCTTAATTGGAAGCATATTTGTGAAATTAGATTCCTAGAATCCTGGAAGAGTCTTGGTTGGAAGGGGTCTTAAAGACCATCTAATGTGTTAGTGCCTTAATATGTTCCGAGCTTCTAAAGCTCCCTTATTGGAATTGTTTGGTTTCATATTCCATAAAATTTACAGAACATTAAAATTGCATCATTTAGTACAGTAAGGGCTCAAACTTTCTAATAGCCGAAGTTAACTACTTAACCACACAGGAATGAAGTGTCAGGAGGATGGCTTAGAAAGAGTTTTTCCTCTCAAGTTTCACCCTGAAGTTTTAATCTATTCTTTAAGAACTCACAAAAATTATTTCAATGAATAAACATTTTCTGATGAGAACTAAACAAACTTGTGTTGCCAAGACATTCTTGATTACTGCTCAGCTGCGCCTGCAATGTCATTAAATTATGGGAACCAGTAAAGTTGTGATTTCTTAAATGCTGTGAACCACCCCAGCTTTGTGGGCTGGGTTATTCTCTGTGACATATTCTGTCAGCATAACCTTTGTGGCTTTTCTTTCAGTACTTACCACAGCTAGTCTTTGCCATTTTCAGATTCAGGATTCTGTTCCTTGTTTAGTTTCTTTTAATTCACAGATGTGTTAAAATGTTGTTACTCCCTTACTTGCTCAACTAGTAGCAGAAGAAAACCGCAGAGTTGTAAATTTTTTCCTGTCAAGAACCTTTTCAAGTATTATTTTGAGATTTAATATTACCCATACACACACTTGTGTACAAATTAGATTGGAAATCTTCCTTCTCAGTAATGAGTATAATTGTTTCTTGTGTGCTTTTGATAATGTATGCCATTAGCAGATTATGCACTTGAAAATGCTGACTGATTATTAGTTCAGTTTCAGCAACTGCAAATCTCCTTGCTCTTGAATTAGAGAAAGGCTAAAAGATCCATGATTGCACCTGAATTAATTAAACTGAAGTAGTCTGTATGAGAATATTTGTTTAATAGACTGTCAACTGCTTCTGTGCAAAAGACATAGGACCAGTTTTTTTCAAAGTATTTGAATTCCTAAATCTCATTAGGTGTCTGTATGCCTCCTTAGGCATCTGGGTACCTTTAAATACTTGGCCTTTGATCTCCTCCAAATGAAGTTGCTCTATTCATTAGTGGGATGAATAGTGTGCTTTGTCAGATGTGAATGTCATTTTCTACCAGGGCTGACTCAGAGCAGAAGCAACTCATGAATGCAGCACTCTCCCTAACCTTACCAACCCTTTCAACACATCAGTTATCCCCAGAAAACTCGTGGTTTGCCACTGCAGCCTCTCTGAAGCTGTAAGATTTTCAGTTCTAGATGAATTTTACCAATGTTAATGGAATTACTTGTACAGTTTGTACTGCTTTGTTTTTACATGCTTTATCTTTTTGTATGAATTACTGTAGCTTTAGAAAAATCTTTTAAAATTTAGTTTGCTATTATAATGAGTTATTATTATGACTAATTCTAAAGGGGCTGCTACTCTGCATACTAATTAAATTCAATGACTTTTTATGCTATTGATAAGCTATTTCCTGTAATAACATTAAGCCTCTTGTAATAGAGATATCTTTTTTTCTCAGTCTTCTGTTTCAATTGACTCTTTTCAGGTTCAGGTTTCACAAAGACAGGGAGAGGTATAATTCAGCTGTAAAT